GTCCACAGCCTTGCTTAGCTCTGGGCCTGCCTGTAGGCACTGCTCTGATACCTTTGTCTCAAGCAGAGACAGAAAAGGGTCCCCACCGAGTCCCTTTGGGAAGATTCATTAACAACAAAGCTTTGCGGCAGCAGCTAACACAGAAGCTGAACCAGGTGCCACCTGGGCTGTCTGCACACTTTACGTGGGACATCTAGTCTCCATGACAGAACAAGGCAGACGCTTCTGCAGTCAGCACCTCAGAGAGGAGGACATTGAGGCGTGAAGTGGTTAGCAGCTTCCCCATTGTCTTGCTGCTGGACAGCACAGGAGGAGGGCCCAAGTGCAGGTGGCCTGGCTGCAGGGTCCATGTTCTGGCCTGGCCTAGAAGGCATGGGACAGGCCAAAGAGGTGAGGCTGCTGACGACTGCTAGCAGGCCACTCCCCTCGGCTTCAGTTAGTAAGAAACACAGTGGGGTCCAGCTAGGTTATCTGTGGTTACCTTTTCAAGTCAAAATATCAATCTGTCAATTCTTTTTCTAAGTTTATTTTTTTCCATGATTGAGAGACAGAGAAAGTGCATGTGAGGGTGAGCACACAGTCCCCAGTAGGGTTCCAATGCCACAATCCATCCCCCAGAACCAGCTCTGGATCCCAGGCAAGTACATGCCGGGCATACTCAGGAAGGTCTTCAGACTTGGACTGGGAATCTTCCCATATGAGTCAGCCTTGCAGAATGTCATGTTTACCACTGTACCACCGGCTGGTCCCCACAGTCCAATTCTTTAAGGAGTTTGAAAAAGAGCTATCCGGGGCCAGCAAGTGGCATGGTGGTTAAGGGAGCTGGACTCTCACATGGCTGACCGTGGTTTGAGTCCTGGACCTGGTGGCTTGCTCTCTCTCTCTCTCACTGTGTCCCTCTCTGGTCAAATTTAAATAAATAATAAAATAAATACAAAAGAATTATTTCATAAAAAAAGAGCTATCCTTTCTGAAGTAATTTTTATGCATAAGAAAAAAAGATTAGGTGAGAATGTACCAAAATGTATCAAGAAGGTGACTCTGACCATCTCTGAATGGTGGGGTAAGGGTTAATATTTTTCTTTTTAACTTTCTCTGAATATTTGTTTCCTCCATGAGTATTTTTTGAGTGAATGAATGAGCGAGTATTACTCTAACAGAATTAATAATTAGAAAGAGCTTGGCTGAGAGGGATGGCCTGGTGGGACCCTGAGGGCAGGCTCTAGAGGGAGCAGCAAAGTTCAAGGAGGGAAGAACAATAGGAACGGGCTCCTGGACCTTGCTGTATGGCCTAAAGAAAGGAGACCCAGATTGGGCTAGCAGGTGGCATCATGGTTAAGGTGCTGCACTTCCACATAGTCGACCATGGTTCAAGTCCCAGACACGGCAGCTTGAAACTCATGCCAGGCATATGTGCATGCATGCCCAAAATCCTGAGAGGAGAATAGAAGAGAAGCGATTGTAGTGTGACCATTCCTCCAGGGGAGTATTTCTTACTTCCTGTCTGTCTGTCTCTCTCTGTCTTTCCAGCAACCATATGTGCCCTATGGAAAAAAATCTCTCAAAGGAAAGAAAGAAAAGAGACTCACATCTAACCCACAGGCAGAAGAGCTAGTTCCAGGAAGCCTGTGGAGCAGGGAGGGCTTGGAGCTGAGGCAGAAGGGGCACGATCAGTGTCTAAGGGACAGATCTCACCCATTGCCCAGTCACTTGTCAGTGGTAGGAAGTGAGGATGCCCAGGAGAGACGGCCATTCAACCTTATTCATTACACCAGAGACTGGCGCTTCACACAGAGCAACCATGATCTGCTCCCCAGCAGCAAGGCCACAGAAGCTGTGACTGGCATCTTCTGTTTGTCCTGGTCAGAGCTACTGCTCTGATCTGCAGGAAGGTCAACTGGACACGACGCCACCCATGCTCTGAACTCTAACAGCAGCATGGAAGGCGACAACACAGTAAAAACAACAAAAGCTGGAACTCATCGGTGCCCGTCCTGCACCAGATGCTGTTTAACGCCATTCACAGGGCTGGAGGGTGGCAGTGAGGAAACACAATGTTTGCCAGGCTGACCCACGTGGCAAGTTTCTGGATTCACCATCAGAGACCTCCCTGAGAACGGCGGGCCCCTGATCTGGGGTTGGCTCAGGCTGGTTCTGGATAGTGGTGTCAAAACCCTTTTGGGGACACTGTCTCCCTGTCTCTCTCACTCATGGAAGAAAAGAACAAATATAAATAAATAAATAAATAAATAAATAAAAATTAAAGATATACTGCAAGTGCCCCTCATGAATTTACTCACTTAATCCTCAACGTGAGCCTATCTAGCAGGTTCTCTTAGGATCCCCGTTTGGGAGATAAGGGGGTAAAGAGGTCCTAGAAGTTGCCACAACCTGGGAACCTGGCTGGTGCCAGAAGCAGCCCTCCGGGTTAACCCCCAAAAAGCATCCTGACAATGGGTATCCCAACCAGCCGTGGCCGAATCCTTGCTGACCCTGTGGCCCTGATAAACAAGCCCACTGCACGAATATTTTTGCAAATGGAGTGTGTGAGGGGGAATCCCAAGGGAGAAGGACCTTGGAGCTGTTAAAGCCTCCCTCACTTGGTTGCATTTCCCTGGAAAGGAAACTCTGCTTTTCAGAGTCGGTTTTTGCAAGTCACCCGACTTTAATTTCCCTAAAAAGAAAGGCTGCCCCTTAGAGCAAAGGAATTCAAAAACACGTATTTCCTTCAGGTTCATTTCTGTTTGCCCATCACATACACATCCTCTGCCAGGTCCCTGGAAAAAAACTAACTTTAAATACCCCACCCTCCACGTCTTTATCGTTGCTTTCTTCAGTAACAGCGTCTCCCCTGCTACACAAGTAGGCATAGCTCTAAAACTCACCCTGAAAGGAATGAAATAAGCCTCAAGCAGATTAAAAGCCAGCTAAGCTTTGATCTGTATAGTGAAATGTCGCATAGCAGCTCTGTTCTAGAGGAACAGGAAAGCAGTTACCTCATAGGTGTTGGTGAATTTTACTAAAAGCCCTGACCAAAGCTGCCCCACGGGGCTGCAGTTTAAAGCCACAGGGATACTTCCTAAATTCTGTAAAACCCTGCTATGGCTGGCTTCCCTCTCCTTGGAAATTTCTACTAATTCAGCAAAGCGACAGCTACTGTGTTAAAAAGTGGAGCAGTACAGGTATTGTTTACTTTCCTTAAACCCGCCTCTTCAGGAGGGTTATGTTACCTGATCATTTACCAGCTTGTTACAAGTTAACTGCAAAGAAGCAAAGAGCAAAGGGCAAAGGACAACAGAGTGGCCAGTGAGTCAGAGGAAGGCAGGCAGCTCCTAGACACTGATGGGGTGAAGAGCCTAGCTTCACAGTTAACGCATGGATGATTCATCTTTTTACATTCTGCATGGGGTTAGAATGCCAGCTAAACCATTTGCAAAGGATCAGAATCTTTTTCCAGTTTCACTTTCAGTGAATCAGAAATGACCAAACCAGGAGCGCTCAAGAGTCATCAAGGTGGAGGGGTTACAGGTGGTCTCAATGTGCCGGTGTTAGGTGGACTTCTGGATTTCCACCTGATGCCCTGGCCTCGCTCTCTAAAATCCATGTGAGGCTAAAACATGGAAATATGTGGTCTCTGTCAGCTGAAATACTGCTAGAGATGTGCTACAGCTGCTAACTGTAGTGCTAGAAAAATCTCTTGGTATTTACATTAAATGTATGTAACAGCAGAAAAACTACTTCACTGTGATTCAACAGCCATCTGATACAGCCACACAGAGAAAAAGAGGCTTTGATATTCTACACATTTTATAAAACATTGACTTCAAGACAATGATCACTCTTCTGAAAAGCTGTAAGCTGTCTGTCTGTCTGTTTTCAATATCCTGCTCCTGAACTGTTTAGGGTTAATATGAATACAGCTTAAGGGAAAG